CCTCCCCACCTACCTCCCATGTCTTCATTGTTTCGAAAAGGAGCCCCCTGTGCTCTGGGGACCGACTTTTCGTCCGGGGTCGGCCCCAGAGCTCCCAGATGTCTGAATGTGCCCTGAGATACACAAATAAGTATACACAAATAACAGGATTTGCCATCGTTTCATGTATCTTCTGGCTTTTTGTTCTTCCCCCCAACTTCCCACAGGTTCCCATATTTTCGGGGGAATCGACGATACACTGTGTCTGTGTGATTGTTTCCACCTCAGAGTCGAAAGCCACGGAAAAACGCCGTCTTCATTTTTCAATGACGGATGTCTGGGTCCCCGGAAACGGCAGGGCCGTTTTTTCACCGTTTCCAAAAAAAGGCCCTTGAAAATGGAGTCGGCAAAAAAACGGCGACCGGAAACGGCAAAAAAAACGGCTCCAGGATCGGAACTGGAGCCGAAACCGATCAGAAAATGGCGACGGAACCGGTACAGCAACGGCGTCGGAACCGGCAAAAAAACGGCAAAACGGAACCGGTAACAAAACGGCCCTGTCGTTTCCAGGGCCCACTGAGCTCTCCCCTTCCCTGCCCTGCCCTTTCGATGATGGGAGCGCGGCGGTGCTCGCTGAGGGTCAACGTGAACCAACGCCAACGTCCTGAGATGATGGCTGCGGCTTGCGAGCCGGGAGTCGAGCTTCTTCAGGCAGAACCTCTACCAAGTGATCGACGTTGCCTTTGGGTGTCTGTTGAGGGGGAAGTCCTCGCTACGGCTACTCCACTCACCGACATCCTCGAAGCGTGGACATGCTCAGGGGGGAAACATCGAGCTGGAGTCGGCTCTAGTTCGACGATCGAGCGGCGAGATGTCTCCCGGGCAGGGTGGGGCTACCGGGCCCCTGTTGGCGATGAACGGGCGACTTGGGGGGTCGATCTGCTCCCACCCTGAGGTAGTCCCCTCTCAACGTTGACCCTGCTTCGCCAAAGAGATCCTGACGTCCAGACACCCGAAGATGCGCTCATTGTTGAATGCGCCGCCCCAAGAATCCCGACCGCACTCCCCGAGCAGGTCTCGTCCCGGCTCTGAATGTTCGATGGCCCCTAGGGCCCGAAGGCGGTGCCCGAGGGCCGAAATCGAGGAACCAAGGCCCACATTGACAAGACCAGCTCGTCGAAGATCTCAGATCCCCCTGGAGCCCGAAACCTTCGAGCAGGGACCGACCGACCTGGCATTCCTATGGGCCTACCATAAAATTCTCTTGGAATCCAAAATGCACGAATCACAAGAACCATAGTCTCAGAACATAAGCCCGATCAGTGTAAACAAGACAGCCCAAGCCAGAAATGACCGATGAACATGTCGTGCAAGCCTCAACATGTTCTTAGACAA